AAAGCTCACAACTTTGTCCTTAGCCCACAACAGGGTAGCTTACATTCATCCTAGAGCATTCTCAACTCTACCCAAGATGACATCTTTGTTACTACAGTACAACTTGATAACTGACATTAACTTTATAACTGACATTCACCCCTTCTCAAATCCACCAAAACTCACAGAGCTGTACCTTAGCGCCAACAGGATATCTGTCCTGCCACCGTCAGCTTACAACATCTTAGCATCCATTGCTAATGTTTTATTGACAGAAATTCCTGGCAGTGCGACTGTAACATGGCTCCCTTCAGGCAAAAAATGACTGGGTTTTACTCGTTTGTAGACAAAATTGTATGTTACCAGCCGGACATGTTCTTTGGACAAAAGCTTAAAGATATCACCCCAAAACAGCTCATCTGTGAAGCGTCAACTATATCAACCATGCCTCTAGCAGGCACCACTCACCAACCTACCACGTTCACTACACAAATGCTTAAAAACATCAACCCAACCAAAGACCTTAAAGACAATGGCCCCTACAGGGGCACTACTCACCAGCCTACAATGTTCACTACACACATGCTTAAAAATGTAAACCCGACAAAAGACCAGGTTATCAAAAACGATGACCGATTGGAAAGTGGAAAGAACTTAATGTACACTTCCACAACTCCCCGCACCTCTCACTATCACTCTATCTCTGTCAGTCAGTCTAAAAAGACTACGACTATGACTATGAGCATGACCTCATGCTATCACACACGCTTTAAACAAAAGGCAGGCTCAACAGCACAAACTGTAAGCGCCACATTCACCACACTCCCCACTCATACCAGTAAACCAGAGAGCAACACTTCCTATGAATCCGATGCCAGGTTCTCGAAACCTGGTTTTGTCGCCAGCTCTGTCTATGGCCCAATACTTGGCATTGTCCTGATGATTACTGGTATGATCATTCTCGTAATCTGGCACAAAAGAATGGCCGGCAGTCCCTGTTCAGGCAAAGATCCTAAAGACAGAAGCCATTTCTACATGGGTATGGACACTTCAAAGAATGGGCAGGGTCAGGCCCCCATCACACAATCCCAAACAAACACCACAGCTGCTGTAGTAGCCAGTGATCATGGACATGGGTACGAAGCTATGAACCAACAAAATCAGGCAGGGCAGGGTCAGTCTCAGGCCATCACTGCATCCAACACAAACACCACATATATATGTCCAGCAGAGGACACTTATCATGGTCTTGACTACGAAAATATGGACCAAGATGATCAGACAGGGCAGGGTCAGTCTCAGGCCAACACTGCATCCAACCCAAACACCACAGCTACTGCAGAGGCCAGTGATCATGGTCTTGAGTACTATGAAGATATAGACAAAGAACTTGATCAGACAGGGCAGGGTCAGTCTCGGGCCATCACTAAATCCAACACAAACACCACAGCTACTGCAGAGGCTAGTAGTTATCATGGTCTTGAGTACTATGAAGATATAGACCAAGATGATCAGACGGGGCAGGGTCAGTCTCAGGCCATCACTGCATCCAACACAAACACCACAGCTTTTGTAGCAACTAGTGGTTATGATCACAAGCATGAATATATGAATCTACATAATCAGACAGGGCAGGGTCAGTCTCAGACCATCACTGCATCCAACACAAACACCACAGTTACTGCAGATGCTAGTGAGCATGGTCTTGAGTACTATGAAGATGTAGACCAAGAACTAGATCAGACAGGGCAGGGTCAGTCTCAGGCCATCACTGCATCCAACACAAACACCACAGTTACTGCAGATGCTAGTGATTATGGTCTTGAGTACTATGAAGATATAGACCAAAAACTTGATCAGACAGGGCAGGGTCAGTCTCAGGCCATCACTCAATCCAACACAAACACCACAGTTACCGAAGTGAACAGTGAACTTTATTATCAGTATGAAGAACAATCTGATACAAACCAACATAATCAAAAAGGGTGGGGTCAGTCTCAGGCCATCACTAAATCTAACACAAACACCACAGATGTTATGAACAGTGATCTTTATTACCAGTATGATGACATGGGAATAAAAAACAATCAGGCAGGACACGACAAATTTCAGACCACAACTGGTTATAACCATCGTGAATCCTTGGATATTACAAATGATATTTACACCACAGAGGCAGCTGCCTCAGTGTCTAACCCTGTATACACAATGTGAAAATTTATCTGACAAGGAAGAATTCTACCATAAGGCCACAGCAAGTAATTCTTATGGATCACATCAGCGCTCGCATTAATTTTCGCCTGAGTTTGGAAAAAAAAAAACAAGAAATTTTGTTGCCTTCTGACAGTGGTCAACATGCCGAAAATGAACAAAGATGTCTGTTGCCATGCTGGTAGGTGGATGACAGATAACTATGAAGAGAAGAGACAAGAAAAGGCTCTGATTTAATGTTTTGTTTCTTTTCTTACTTTGATGCAGTGATATGTGATGCTGGCTGTGTATATGTGATGTTCCAACTGAATCAAAATCATTTGTACAATGATTGAGTCAAAATTTTAAAATGTAGGAACCTTGTTTTTTCCGGCCCGCCTTGTTTTTTTTCGCCCGCTCGCATTAGATTTGGAGTCTGCGGAGGATGTCATCCATAAAATTTACTTACTGTGGCCTAATGATTATACCACTTATTCCATAAGACACACTGCAGTGTGACAACCCTTGTTTAAAGTGGGGTCGTGTGGCATAGCAGTAGTGTGTTCAGCTCAGGACCAAGAGGTCCCAGGTTTGAATCCTACCCATGTCACCGATCTTGTGCCCCTGGGAAAGGCACTTTACACAACTTTCCTCACTTCACTCAGGTGTAAATGAGTACCTAGCTTTGGCTACGGACGTCCCTCGGATAGGACGTTAAATGGAGGTCCCGTGTTTGGGGACAGTCACACCCCACGCACGTTTAAGAACCCACCACACTCTTATCGAAAAGAGTAGGGGACATTCCCGGTGTGAGTGGTTCAAACCTTACAGTCCGGTATTACGCAGCTTGTACAAGTACGTACATGTACAAAACTGGTGTGTTACGCCTAAAGGCAGTTTACCGGTTATGCAAAACAAACAAACAAACAAATTCACTTGCCAAAAACATAGAGTTCTGCCACTTCTTACTATTTAGATGTGATTGTGAATATAGCACTGCACTGCAAAGTTACGATTCAATTTAAAGTTTGAAAGGTATTGTCTCTGGGGAAAGATGGTTGGTAGACAACTTTTGGCTGTATCAGTATTTGTTTCTGGCTGGTTTGAGGCCCATTTCCATTTTGTCCAGGAAATAACCTCACATACACTACCAAAAATGACATTTCTAGCATTCTTGTTTTTTCTTACAGTCAGAAAATATTTCTTCCCTGAAGCAAATTTTTCTGTATTCAAGAATGAAATTTTGTCCACGAATTAAGTAATTTTTTCTTGATAGACTTTTTCTTGCAGTAAGAATATTTTTCTTATAGGTTTCTATATAAGTTATTGTTGGTTGCTTCTAGAATCTTATTCTTACAGTAAGATTCGTGATGCAGACAATTGTTCTTATACAAAGACTGCAGTTCTCAATACAAGCCTAAAATTCTATAAATCTGGAAGTTATTTTATTCTTTCAAGATTTTCGTTCTTATCCCAAGAACACTACATTCCTATCTGCTAGAAATAGCTTCTTACTTCATCTCACACCCAGAATATATTTCTTCTGTCAAGACCAAAATTCTTGATACCTAGAAATAGATTAAGATTTATGTTCTTGCATTGCACTAAAAGAAGAATTTTTCTTGTGCAAAGAACTTTTTACTGTCAGCAAGAACCTTATTCTTTGAACAAGAATCCCCGTTTCCATAAAATTCAAGAAACTCACGCCACGTTGTTCTTATTCTCAGAATTTATTTCTTACAGCTAATAAACCCATACTTAAGAATATTCTTCTCATGATAAGAATTACGGGTTCTTACACGAAGAATCTCTATCTTGTTCGCAGGAAAATATTTCTTGAACAAAGAGCTAACTGTTACACAAGAAAATATTTCTTGAACTAAGAGCTAACTGTTCTTGTAGTAAGAAAACCATTCTGTAGACAAGAAAAGATTTCTTGAACTAAGAGTTAACTGTTCTTGTAATAAGAAAAATATTCTGTATATAAGAAAAGATTTCTTGAACTAAGATCTAACTGCTCTTGTAATAAGAAATCCATTCTGTAGACAAGAAAATATTTCTTGAACTAAGAGCTAATTATTCTCGTAGCAAGAAAATCATTCTGTATACAAGAAAACATTTCTTGAACTATAGCTAAGAGCCTAGCTAACAGTTCTTATAATAAGAAAACCATTCTGCACATAAGAAAAGATTTCTTGAACAAAGAGCTAATTATTCTTGTAGCGAGAAAATCATTCTGTATACGAAAAAACATTTCTTGAACTAAGAGCTAACTGTTCTTATAGTAAGAAAACCATTTTGCACATAAGAAAAGATTTCTTGAACGAAGAGCTAATTATTCTTGTAGCAAGAAAATCATTCTGTATGCGAGAAAATATTTCTTGAACTAAGAGCTAACTGTTCTTATAGTCAGAAAACCATTCTGCACATAAGAAATGATTTCTTGAACGAAGAGCTAATTATTCTTGTAGCAAGAAAATCATTCTGTATACAAGAAAACATTTCTCGAACTAAGAGCTAACTGTTCTTATAGTAAGAAAACCATTCTGCACATAAGAAAAGATTTCTTGAACGAAGAGCTAATTATTCTTGTAGCAAGAAAATCATTCTGTATGCGAGAAAATATTTCTTGAACTAAGAGCTAACTGTTCTTATAGTAAGAAAACCATTCTGCACATGAGAAAATATTTCTTGAACTAAGAGCTAATTATTCTTGTAGCAAGAAAATCATTCTGTATACAAGAAAACATTTCTTGAAGAGCTGTTCTTATTGTAAGAAAACCATTCTGCACATGAGAAAAAATTTGTTGAACTAAGAGCTAATTATTCTTGTAGCAAGAACCTCATTCTGTATACAAGAAAACATTTCTTTAGCTAAGAGCTAGCTAACAATTCTTATAATGAGAAAAACATTCTGCACATAAGAAAATATTTCTTGAACTTAGAGCTCAATATTCTTGTATCAATAAAACTATTTTGTCCACAAAAGAAGAAATAATGTACAAAAGTTACAGAGAATGATATTGCAACAATTAAAATCCTATAACAATTATTTGACAGGCCTCTTGACACTGACAGTATAGGAATATTCATTACCACAATTACTAGTATGTACTACATGTATCTAACATTCTTTGAATGGAAACAAGTTTTACAGTAAACTTAAAACTATCATATGATGTAACCAACAAGCCATTATGGTTAAAGAATACAGATCATATCACATTCCAAAACATTCAGCAAACCCCGCAGCTTTGGCATTATAGCATTGGCACAGTCACAGTCTTTGGAAACCTGAAAAAAACAGGAAAGACCAGGTTTCTTAGTTTGCATTGCATGCAGGGGCTGAAGACAACAAAGTCAAAAGAGGATGCTAAAAATAGGATTGAATTACTTCAAGTTTACTCAACAATTGAAAATAATATAATTATAATGCAGTAAAACATTGTACTCTACAATATACCAGAGATACAATTTAGAAATCAACCCCAATGGAATTGTAGCAAATAAGCTATGAAGTCTAAAAACAATGTCGACAGATTTTTTTCTTCTTGGTGGGGAGGGGGCGCACTTACCTTATATAAGTTTGGTTCCATCCTTTTTTCGTTGCAAAGTTGGTTTCTTCTGCAAGCCGACACGATCACCATTGCTTCACATGCACACAAGGTCCTTTTTACCTTGATTTTGACTTCAAATCCGACGATATGAATCAATATCTGACTAAAAAGAAGTAACCAGCACAGAGCACTGCCCCCACATCTTACAATGTACTTCACCCCAGGTTCAGTTAAAAAATCCCTAACTGCATTCTGGGATTTGAATTAACCAATCAGGAGCTCACAAGAGATCACATGACAGTTATGGCTAGAATGTTAAGAAAAATTCTTACATTATCTTGAACATTACCAGGGAAAAAACTCATCTTTCTTTAACTTTCTCGATAAGGAAAACAAAAACGTTAAAGAACTTTAAGTATTTTTTCCTTCAGGTTTTAAATTTGAATTTTAATTCAACAATTTTTTTGTCTAAAAAGAAGCAAAGACACAGATTCTTGTATTTTCTTGAACATAACCTGACCAAGAAAAACAAGAATCATTTTCTTGAACTATCTAGATAAGTAAAACTATGCTAGTTACAAGTATAGAATTATTCAAAGTCAAGAAAGTAAAGAAACTAATTCTTGTCTCTGACATTACTAAAAGTATCTAGAATCAGATTGCTCAACTTTCTAAATTACAAAAAACAATAACAAATTGTTAATACCCCAAAAATAGATTCTTACACCAAGATTCCTTTTCTAACTTTAAGAGTGATATTACCTATCAATTATTATATTATTATTGTCAAGAAAGCCTTTCTTCTATTAAAGTTTCATGTTCTTACAACAAGAATGCATATCTTTTTCCTCAAGACAGAAATTCTTAATATATATACCACTATAATCTTTGAGACTTTGGTTCTCAGTTCAAGACCAAAATTCTTACTGTCAAAAAACACTTTCTTCTAAGCAACATATATGCATATGTCAAGAAAGTCAAGAACAAAATTCTTGTTTTTTCTGACACAGCCCAAGAAAAGCAAGAACTTCCTTTCTCAAAGTTTCTTGATATGAAAAACAAGAAAATTCAAGAATGTTATTCTAGTTATGACTAGATCTTTGTCTTCTAGTTTCAATATCTTGAATATTCTTGTTTTTCTAAGCAATATATCTCAAGAAAGGTTAGATCAAAATTCTTGTTTTTTTCTGACACAGCCCAAGAAAAGCAAGAACTTCCTTTCTCAAAGTTTCTTGATATGAAAAACAAGAAAATTCAAGAATGTTATTCTAGTTATGACTTGTTTTTTAAACCCTGCTTTTCTTGTTTTTCTTACTATGAGAAATACAAGAAACTTAAGGGAAAAATTCTTGTATTTTCTTAACCATGGCAAGAAAGTAATTCTTCCGACAAGAAAAACAAGACCATTTAACTCAATTTTCTAGAACATTCTAGGGGGAGAAAATCATTGCTAGAATTTATTTCTTCACGTAAGAAAAATGAGAAAATGTTTCTTGTAGTGAAAATTTACAAGAAAAAAATTTTAGAACGATCTGTTGCTCTTTTCTTATTTATTCTTAATTTTTCTTGAAACTTCTTCATGTAAGAAAATTTGTCCACGAATTAAGAAAAACAAGAAAAACCATTTTTGGTAGTGTATGCATGAAGTATGCAGCCTGACATGGGCAACAGCCTGAGACACTTTGGGGGCTTTGAAAAGTTTAAGAAGTGTGTATATTCATCAGGAATTTACAGTATATGGGACAACATCTGGAGAAATAGTCTTAAAATGGCATTAATGTGTAGGTCTGGAGTGAAATTATGGTGTGTTATGCCTAAAGGCGGTTTTCCGGTTAGGCCACACTGACTTAATTTTATGGATGACATCCGCACGCGCATTGATTTTCGCCTGTCGCCCTACAAAAAAAAAAAAAAAATCACGTCCACCGAGGCTCTGGCCTGGCTCTAGGCCTGGGTAGTCCATGGTAGTCAGCGACAAAACGGAGCCGAGCACCCAGGCTATTGAATTCGAAGCTCCGCGACTCAAGAACTCAGTACATAAGTACAGTACCGATTCATAAATGCCGCAAAAAGCCAGCATGTCGTATACGTTGCTAAGTACTGCCGCAAATTCACAATACCAGCTTTGTATTCCTGAGACAGTGGTTTAGGAGCATTTATTTTTGGCCGGAATTTTTTTTATTTGCCCGCGCGCACTAGTTTGAGGGTCTTCAAAGGATGTCATCCATAAAATTAAATCGGTGTGGCCTTATGCAAAACAATCAAACTACAGCAATGAACAGTGAACTTGATCTAATAGAATAAGACCAGGGATCCTTCCAAACTTGTAGATCCCAAAGTTGCTTTTAACAAGCAGCAGTCACAAACACTGCATCCATACGGGTACATGTATCAGAACATGGCCTTTACTGTAACAGTTAAAAAAATATATTGACTTGAGTCTGTTCACTGGCAAACAAGTAAACCCATGAGAAGGCATGTCCTCTGTCTGTTACAAGCATCCAGAGGAAGAAAAGTTCTAGTCATATCTAATGCTACACTGACTTAATCTTATGGATGACATCCTCTGAAGACCCCCAAACTAGTGCGCGCGGGAGAATAAAAAAAATTTCCGGCCAAAAATAAAAATGCTACTAAACCACAGGAATACAAAGCTGGTATTGTGAATTTGCGGCAGTACATAGCGACGTATACGAAAGGCCGGCACATGCTGGCTTTTTGCGGAATTTATCATATAGCACTGCACGTATGTACTAAGTTCTTGAGTCTCGGAGCTTCGTTAGCCTGGCCATGGGTGCCATCTTTCAAAGTTACCGCCGGTTCCGTATTATCGCTAAGTGCCCAGGTCTAGAGCCAGGGCAAAGCCTTGGAGGACGTGATTTTTTTTTTTGAGAACAGGCGAAAATCAATGCGCGCGTGGTTGTCATCCATAAAATTAAATCGGTGTGGCCTAATTAGCCAAAGCAAACCATTTCTTACAGCATTCTGCAACTCTTATATTCGATAATAACTTTAGAAAATCCATATTTGTTTCCAATCCCAAAATTAAAGTTCATTACTGGGCCAGGAAGTGCCTTGAAATCAATAAAATTATGACAGTGTTTACTAAACAAAAGTAAATGTACAGAAGAATATTGCACAAGACATTTGTTTCATGGGAATACAATCTTTTCCCAATAACATTAATCTATAGGAGTTCTTTGTATCCTTTAGACAAAATATCCAAGATTGTCTCTGAGAAGAGTTCTCATCATTAAGTTAAAAGTTTAACATTAAACTAGAACAAAGAATTTAAAACAATTTTGCTAGTGGTCCTGAGTGAGATCATCACATTTTAGACCAGGCAAGGACATTTTTTACGTGTTTGATATGTAATACTAAATGATGCTATGTACAAATTTTGAATTTGAAAAGACTTTACCAGGATCTTGCATGGAGCAAAATTGTAAGTTGTCCATAATGATGTTACTACTAAGCACATTTTATATTGTGCCTGTGGTGTAGTAGGAAAAATAACATTTTCATAATGGTAACAGAAAATATTCTGTAAAGAAAAATGTAACTCCTTGTAATATAAAAGATTAGATGGTGCATATTTTGTCACCTTGCTTTTAGAGTCATACACATAGAACCTACATGTACGACTTTTAAAAATGCTAAAAGCTACATGTCATGTGTAAAATTTACCTATTAGTAAGTAAGTGAATGTATGGAGTGCTCACTTAAACTTTGCATCTACATGTATCTGGGCCATACAAAAGACATACTAGTATTGAAAATGATCCAGGGTGCTTGCTTTAAGAATTTATGTAACAAATTGAATAGAGTAGAAATTTTAGTTGAACACAAACCAGTATCAATGTACTTTTTTTTAGTGTCAATTGTTTGGCCTATTAAGGCTATAGAAATGGAGGTGGGTACTGCCCAATGCACCAAATAGTGTTAAGATCATCCTATCCTTTTTAATTAGCATGAGAATCTATAAATAGTATGCCACAGTTCATTCAGTGAAATGCTAAGTAATAATTGTTACAGATGATTTGTTTACTCTCAAATTCATGCATCCATATAAACCACAATGTACCAAATGTTGTCTGTTTTAGTAGTAGATTTTGACATCTACATGTAACATCTGTGTCCATAATATCACCAGGGTCCATAATATCGCCACCTTGAGAAATAGTGTGCTTAAAGATATTTTTACTGCAACATACCCTAGGTATGTACATTTGAGGTGTGCAGGAGTGCATACCAAACTGTTTCTCAAGGTGGCGATATTATGGACCCTGGTGATATTACATTTGTATGGACACAGATGTTACATGTAGTCCTCTTGTTCAGGCTTCAAGCTACATGTACAATGTAGGTGTTATACTTCATGATTGAAAAATAGAACTTTTGATGCTCCAATCTGGATTGCATAGTAGAATTTGTATAAGATGTTTCATATGGATAAGCCAGTACTCTGGATATATTGTGGACAATTCTATTTATTCACAAAATATATTAATATTGAGTATTGGGCAAAAAGCACAAGTTGCTTGATATATAACACCTTCTACTCATTTTTTTTTTTACTTATTCACAACAATTCCTTGGACTTGGGTAAAGTATCTAACACAAAAGAGATTTGTGAATAATTTATAATAATCAGTTTGTTGAATGATTGAAAAGCAAAGTCCTTTTCACAACCACTTGAATGTCTAACAAGTGTCAGAACAAGGAATCTTCTTCAGTTATCAATAATACGCTAGTGGTTGTGATAACGAAATTTGCAAGTAGGAAAATTGTATTCCATGTTTTTATGTGACTATGCTTAGAGTTACTGAAGCAGCTTGTTGTGGCATGGGCCAGGAAAAACATTGTAGCAGTCATGGTGAGATGCATTGCAGTATTAGTCAATAGGAAAAGTATGATGCAGCTTTACTAGAATAGGCCACAGCAAGTAATTTTTATGGATGACATCAGCGCGCGCATTAATTTTCGCCTGATTTTGGAAAAAAAACAAGAAAGTTTTGTTGCCCTCTGACAGTGGTCAACATGCCGAAAATGGGCAAAAATGTCTGTTGCTATGCCAGAAGGTGGATGGCAGATAACTATGAAGAGAGGAAACAAGAAAAAACTATGATTTTTAAATCATAGTTTTTTCTTAAAATGTTTTGTTTCTTACTTTGATGCAGTGATATGTGATGCTGGCTGTGTATATGTGATGTTCCCATTGAGTAAAAACCATTTTGTACAATGATTGAGTCAAAGTTTTAAAATGTAGGAACCTTATGAAAAACTTAAACCTTTCTCCAATTCAAACTTGAGTTGGAGACAGTTTAAGTTTATTGTAATGTAGTAGTATTAATGTAATTTACCAATGAACTTTCATGCTGATGTAGGAACCTTGTTTTTTTCGGCCCGCCTTGTTTTTTTTTCCCAATCACATTAGATTTGGAATCTGCGGAGGATGTCATCCATAAAATTTACTTGCTGTGGCCTTAGATGATGGCTGTAATAGCCATAACTTGTTGATTTTACCAACCAGTATTGCAAATGTACGGTCAAGTGTCTGGCACTACAATGTATGTAATAATGAAGTAATAAATGTCTTGTGTAACACTAGTACATGGCATCATTTTGTCCTCAGTTTTAGAACTGTTCTACAATTCAAACCTATTTGAAAGCATCCATTTTCCAACTTGAGGTGGCAGAACACAGTTTTCGCCCTATGGGGATTCCTATAGTTAAGCACCCCGAGGTGACTCACTTCGACGCGGTAAAAATTATAGTAGAGTGCACTAGAGAATCACGGCCAACTAACATGTTGAAATATACGGTATATTCTACAAAATAACTGAAAACCAAAAAAAGTTATCGTTTTTTAACATAATCATAATGACGACCACTTTGATTTGGCCCTCTCCGGGGTCAACGGAACTGCAGCCGGCTCACCCTGGAACGTTGTTGCATAATGCCGCGCATTTATACACGAACAGGGAAATCTTCACAATCCAACTCATACGGTGTACAAGCCGATACCTTTCTATACCACACAGCGCAGTTCATTCATGGCTGTCTCTCACATAAGTCGCTTTAGCCAGGATGCAAGAGGTTTGTCTGCACTACTTTCTATACCCGCGTCATAGACCCCCGGGGTCACCCATAAATACTGTGTTCCGCGGCCTTGAGCTCTCTTTTATGGATTCCAAAAGAATTGGTTAGTGCAGAAAAAAATGTTTCTATTGCAAAAAACCTAAATTACCTCATGTCCAGAGTGTCTGACAGAAGAAGTTTCAGGGCAATGTTGGGCACCCCTCTGCTGGCCTGTGGAATGGTACCTCCCAGGTTGGTGACGCTGACAGTGAAGTTGACTTGTGTGGGGAAACCAGCGGAGATCTTGTCATTCTGGGTCCTCAGGTTGTGGAACATCTCGATGCTTAGTCCTGGAAATAGAGCGCTTTGAAATTAGCAATTCATACATATTAACTAGAAAGGTAGCCTTTGCAAAGCAAATGCACAATGTTTACCTTCACATATTGTCTGCTCTGTTAATTCTTATCAAAATACATTCACATGGTCATACAGTAGTCTAAATCCCTCCTACTATAAAATTGCAACATTATGTAACCCAACACCAGTTAGTCACTGTGACAGACATCAACAAACAGGTCATTGACCAGGTCAGAGTTCAGTGTTTGGAGAAGAAGAAGGAGGAGGAAATGTAGCAAAAACAATATGTTTTCCTTCGGTAAACATAAAAATGTTTTTTTATCATTAGGTCACACCAATTTAATTTGTTGTTTTCTCGGATCTGCCCTGTCCATTTTTGTCTGATTTTGCAAAAAAAGTCCTAAATCAACTACAAAATGTTAAATGAAAGACAAGGGTCCCAAAGGTTGTGATCATGCTCACAAACAAGAATCTTAAGAATTTTTAGAATTTTACAGAAAGAAAGTTTACAGTAATTTTTTTTCTGCTGCAAGAAATCTTTTCTTGTGTACAGAATTGTTTTCTTGCTTCAAAAACAGTTCGCTCTTAATTCAAGAAATACTTTTTTGTGGACAGAATCATTTTCTTCCAACAGCAAGAAAACTCAAGAAACACATGATTGTGTTTCTTGAATTTTCTTGCTATGGGGATTCTTTACTTTCTTGTTCAAAGAATAATTTTCTTGTTACAAGATACCATTCTTTGTAGAAGGAAAACAAGAAAAACAAGAAAAAAGCATTTTTGGTAGTGAAGCTCATTGATTATAGATGAAAAATATCTAAAGATGAAAATAAAAACATCATACCTGCATCAGGACAGGTGAGTGCTACGTGTTGCCAGGCCAAGTTGTTCTGCAGGTCATTGACCTCAGCAAGCCTGTTGTCATAGTCCACATGGATGCCAAGATACGGACTGGTGTCACAGAACCTGTAACGGTTGTAATCAAGAAGAGAAGAATGAGAGACGGGGGGCGCCACAGACTTTCTGCAACCTATGATCCACTGCTCACGGAGTCCAGGTGTTATCTGCGTGACGTCACGGAAGCGGTGGATTGCTCATTCCTTGACAAAGACTGGAGTTGTACAGTCGAAAATTTGGGTGAGTCCAATTTATTGTGTTGGATATTACAGTTTAAACTTGCTTCATAAAGAAAAGAATGCTATGATTGCTATAATATATTGAAATATTGGAAATATTGGAAGGCTTGATGCCTTGCCACATCATTGATGCCCCTCAAGTGGCTTTCTATGGCACTACAGCAGAACTTCCAGTTTTGATCTAAGTGCCCTTATTAAAGTGTTTCCCACTTTGGAAAGAAATCTCAAAATCTGAGAGAATGCTTTTCTTAAAGTTAAGGCTTTGTATATTTTTTGACACTCTAAAGTCTAATTGTTAGTACAGCATTTTACCAATGGCAATACCTCTTTACTTTTAACAACATCAAGACTAGTATTTGTTCTATGTGGTTGAAGTGTTTTCCACTGCATAAAGAAATCTCAAAATCTAAGGAAATGCTTATGGTTCTGCATATTTTTTGACACTTTAAAGTCTAATAAAAGTTCAGCATTTTACCTCTTTACTTCAACAACAAGACTGTAATTCACTTTATGTTCCCGGAGGCAAAATTTCGTGGTCTGAGAAAATAGTGGTGGCAGTTGCAGGAAAAAGAATTTTGGCGATTGATTTGTTAGCGATAATAATAAGTTTGCGGTACAGACTGAAGTGATGGTGAAACCGTGAATATAAAAGTACCGTGATAAAATCAGGAATTACAGTAACATGCAAGTTGATCGCGATCAGAGTATCTGTTGACAGGGATCACAAATCACAGAGTCATTTACTATCTGCCTATTCTATCAGACTGAGAACATTCTACCAGATATGATCACAGATTCTGATTGCGATCTCTTCCCACAAAAAGAACAATTATGCTAGACTGTAATCTTTACCCTAACATACATACATGTATATCTCAAACCTTTTTCCTAGTGAACATGTTGTAGAGAATAGTCAGTGTTAGATTTAACCATTTGCAGTCTGCATTTTGCAGAGACATTTTCACTATTGGAGAAGAAAAATAAAGCAACCTGCAATTTTGTAGACTGAAAAATCAGGCTAGGAGTTCAATGGTGTTTAAGACCTTCTGTGTTTAATACTGTCTGTAATATATATAATATATTATATAACATCCGTGTCCATAATATCACCAGGGTCCATAATATCGCCACCTTGAGAAAAAGTGTGCGCACTAGTGTGCTTAAAGATATTTTTACTGCAAAATACTTTTGGTATGCACTCCTGCACACCTCAAATGTACATACCTAGGGTATGTTGCAGTAAAAATATCTTAAAGCACACTATTTCTCAAGGTGGCGATATTATGGACCCTGGTGATATTATGGACACGGATGTTATGGTAATTTTGCATGTATTTTTTAAATTGCATGTAAAATGTTTGCCAACATGATTTTGTTCATGCCATGGGTTTAAATTTGGAATTTTTAGTGATTTGCAGAATGTATTTCTCAATTGCAGAACACAATTTTGACATTCTGCAATATTGCAGAAGACTGAAAAAAATGTATTTCTACCACTGATAGTCAACATGTAGAAAAATAATTAATAGATATCATTAATAGAACTAGAGAAGTGACATTTGCAAAGCAAAATTAATGCATAATGTTTACCTTCTCATATGGTTTGCTCTGTTAATTCTTACTGAAACATATGTGGCCAGACAGGAGTCTAAATCCCTCCTGCTATGAAATCGCAACATGATGTAACCCAACACTAGTTCCATGGTAACAGACACAACAATGGTTCAGGTCATTGAGGTCACTGTTTGGGGAAGAAGAAGAGGAAGAAACTGAGCAAAAACAATATGTTTCCTTCGGTAAACATAAAAAGGCAAACCTCTTTAGCTCGGGGTAGTTTGCAAGGTTGAGGAACAAGGCACCGTCCAGGTGGAGCTCAGTGTAGAACCCCTCATTAGGCATTTGTCGTATGGGATAGGCCGCCTTCAACAAATACTCCTGCTCCACAGTGTAGTCAACAGCAAGAACAAGGTTGTCTGGATCTGAGGAAACATGCAGATTCATCATATTCCAAGCAAAAAAAAAGCGGTGTACCAACTTGGTCTCTGGGAATATTGTATGAAAAGAGAATAACCACTAGAAAGGCAGACATTTGCTTGGCAGCAAATACAGCATATTTCAGTCCAATGGTAACACCCAATGTATATTGTGCACGACTTACATGCAACGTGACCCCAGGTAACCCGCAATGTTAGATGTGTTCGAGCAGTGTTCGATAGCCAACGGCAGATGGAACGGGCCATTCTTTAGGTAGAACGTGGAATGGGTATAGCACTTTTGGCCCTTTATTGGCTGCAAATAGCCATTTAAGTCCCCCAAATGAGTCATTTGGAAGAGGTGTATGCCAAATATGTGACTGCTATTCTGTAGACACACGTTCAATGTACCCTTATACCGAATTTCAGATCATTTGGTTGTAATCAAATCATGACCAGGGCTCAGGATCCAAAAATCCATTTTTTGTCGAAAAATGCCCCAGAAAACCTTCATAAAAATTTTTCAAAGGCCTGTATCAAAAAAAATGAAAAAAAAAGCCTGGGGGTATTGGCCCACTCTACTTCCATGCCAAATTTCAAGTCATTAGGCTAAAAAATGACAGAGTTGAATCCATTTATACAGAATTGCAGGAGAAGAAGAAGAAACATGAGAGAACACAATATATTTCATCCATACCATGTGGTATGAGAAGCAGCCAGCAGGCCAATTGGAGAATCTCATGAATAAACAACGGCCCAACTAAAACAAATAAACAAACAAACAAGTTTGTACAAAGTTGATTGTTTGTTACCTGAATGGTCTCCAGTTGGAGATACAATGAACTGGAAGTCAAAGTGAGTGTCGGAGACGGACGGACGAAGCCACACGTCCGTCCCGAGGGAAAGCGCCACCCTCAGGACGTATGGTACGACCCGCGCCGTGCTGACAACATCCCCGCTGTTCAACCCTGTATCCACCAGGTCAAAGGTCACGATGCGGAGGTCCATCCCATCTGTAGAGAAAGACAAAACACATTAACATTGGTTTGATGTAGATTAGGCCACACCAATTTAATTTCTTGGTTAACGGATTTTTCTAGAAAAATAATGGAGTGGGCGGGCGAAAAAATGAAAATAAAAACAGGCCTAGGCATCCTTTTATGGCCCAAAATGGTACGAAAGGATCCATGAAGTCAACACACCAGGCTGGTTCAAAATTTAAACAGTGAATTTTGAAACTTTTAATGATACCATTGCATTGAAAGATGAAATAACTGTAACAACTAGGAGGAAAAGGACTGTTTTCAACTGTTCAGGGCAAATTATGAGCATTTTGCAGTTGATTCTGAATTTTTATTTTTATTTGCAAATCAGAAAAAAATGTTAACCAAGAAATTAAATTGGTGTGGCTTTAGTACTTTTTGTAAACGCTGTGCATAGTCAGTATAGGGCACAGGGAATACGATCAGCACCAGGGACAGGGAAACACAGTCAGCACCAGGGACAGGGAAACACAGTCAGCACCAGGGACAGGGAAACACAGTCAGCACCAGGGACAGGGAAACACAGTCAGCACCAGGGACAGAGAAACACAGTCAGTAACAGGGACAGGGAAACACAGTCAGCACCTGGGACAGGGAAACACAGTCAGTACCAGGGACAGGGAAACACAGTCAGCACCAGGGACAGAGAAACACAGTCAGCAACAGGGACAGGGGAACACAAGCAGTACCAGGGACAGGGAAACACAGTCAGGGACAGGAAAACACAGTCAGCACCAGGGACAGGGAAAAAAAGTCAGCACCAGGGACAGGGGAACACAGTCAGCACCAGGGACAGGGAAACACAGTCAGCACCAGGGACAGGGAAACACAGTCAGCACCAGGGACAGGGAAACACAGTCAGCACCAGGGACTGTATTTTATCCTGCTTTTACTATGACAGATTTTCTCATCCTAACAGTTTTTTCTCATTTTGACTAATTTTTTTCTCATTTTAACTAATTATAGCCTGGTATGCTTCTTTCACAATGGAAACAAACAACATGAGTGTAATATAGACCAAACGTTTAAACAGCTGAAAACAACAATAAACAACAGCGTGTTTTATCATACCTGTGCAGTATGTGTCCTCCGGCTGTGCGGTTACCCACACATCCTCCACAGACAACATGTTGTTGTGTTTGTTTGTTTCCAGGACGTTGTTGTCAGGGTCAATCACCACGGAGACAGTGTTGGACATGCCGCAGAACCCCATCAGCTCTTCCATGGGCAGCTGGATCCCTCCATCTGTAAGAATTGTGAAAAAAGGGAATCAGGAAAATTCTTGTATTTAGTGGAAAATGTACTGGGACTGGACCACTTTTTCCACTAACCCAATGAGGGCCTGCATAAGCCTAAAATCTTATATGCAGTGGGCAATTCATCAATTTGTTACAGTAACTACTTTCATTCATCTATCATTCATTCATTCATTCATTCAATCAATTCATACATTCATTCATTCATTCATCCATCCATCCATCCGTCCATCCATCCATCCATCCATCCATCCATCCAGCCATCCATCCATCCATCCATCCGTCCATCCATCCATCCATATCCATCCATCCATCCATATCCATCCAGCCATCCATCCTCCATCCATCCATCCATCCATCCATCCATCCTTCCATCCATCTATCCATCCTTCCATCCATCCATCCATCCTTCCATCCATCCATCCATCCTTCCATCCTTCCATCCATCCATCCATCCTTCCATCCTTCCATCCATTCATTCATTCATTTATTATTTCTGACAACAAATATTTTGCTTTGTCAAAGTTGCACTCCGGCTACCTTTTCAAAGTTTACAACAAAGCTTCTTGCGTTGAACCTACTTAGACTGGTTGTGTACACAGACAGCCTGTAATGCCCTCCACAGATCTGGTCATTGTTTCCCCCACATGGCTCATCACAGTCACTCTCCATGGCCCTCCCGTGTCTGCTGTAGTCCTCCCCACAGTAGCACTCTACTCCATTCTGCAAGCCTGGTGGGGACAAGGAAACAGTTTGGTTTGGTTTATTTAGATCTCCAGTATTGAATACATAATGTTTTACATAATAGTACTTTCATACATGTAATGTATGTAACCTATGGCAGATGGAACATCAACAGATACTAATTATGCAAATGATGACCTAATTTGCATAATTAATGTGAGAATTCTATGATTTCTTACTGGTGAATGATGGGAATGTCATACTTGGGACATCTGTATGTTAATCAAAAGTTAACATCACGATGCATATATTATGTTGAAGCAGAGGTCATTTGCGTAATTAAAGAAGAATTTCACATATCAAGCCCATATTTCATGGAGGTACAAAATGTATGAGATCTCGGAACTCTTGTTTTTTTTTCACTATTCTTCCTGGAGTCCAATTAAAACATACAAAATATAACAACGGAATATAATAAAATAATATAACAGACTGAACAGAAGACTGACATAAACTGAACTGAAAATCACATTAGCAATCAAATCAATATAAGTCAACTGTACAATAGATTATATTGCCAAATATCTGATTAACAGAAATTAATAACGCAAGTCAAAACGGGGTGGAAGAGGTCAGAAAAAATATGTAATAATGGAACTCAAAATAATATATACTGTACGTAATGAATTTGATTACATATTTGGTTACATATATGAACCAAAATAGCAGAAAATAAATCATTAATAATAATAATTGTAAATCATACAAAATTAACATAGTGAAAGTGAACTGAAGGAAAGTATCAAAACCATTTACAGAATTATACACTGAGAGTCGAAGTTTTATTTTATCACCATGAAGAGAGGTGTAAAGTACACTGTAGTAGAAATACTTTTTTGCAGTGTTCTGCAATATTGCAGAATGTCAACATTTTCTTCTGTAATTTGGAAAGACTTTCTGCAAATACACACTTAAAAGTCTGGATCTAAACCCCTGGCTTGTAGAAAATTGCCATGTTGGGAAACATTTACATGCTATTTGAAAGTACAATCATGCAGACTCATGCAGTAATGTGTACTATAGAGTCAGTGGTAAACACAAAGGCTTGAAAATGCCATTGAACTTTTAGCCTGATTCTTTTCAGTCTGCAAAATTGCAGGTTGTTTTAATTTTCATTCTGCAATATTGAAAATGTCTCTGCAAAATGCAGACTGCAGATGTCATGTTCATTCTTTGACAAATCTATTTCATGTTTATTCTTTTGACAAATGCTGGAATCCTTATACCTGCATACTGAGTGTTGAACCTTACCTGCATACTGAGTGTTTAAGTCTGCGCAGGCCTGGATGCAATCTGCCACAGTAAGCGTGCTGGATTGGCGACCAACGGCGTTGAGCGCACGGCCGGGCTTCATGTCTTTGTAGCAGCCAATGTAACTCCCTATGAAAGAGGCAACAATGTCATCACATGTATTTAGTTACCATTCATCTGGAATATTTTAGAATGCTCCTGAGGCTTTGCCAAAAATCTGAAACCTGACTTAATGCTTTTTTATGTTTACCAAAGGAAAACATTGTTTTTGCCACGTTTCCTCTTCTTCTCCACACAGTGACCTCTGACCTGACTGAACCAGACGGCTGGGGCCATGGTAACTGGTGTTGGGTTTCATCATGTTGCAGTTTTATTGTAGGAGGGATTTAGACTCCTGTCACCATATATGTAATATGTGTTTCTGTAAGAATCAACAGAGCAGACCATATGCGAATACTAGAAGGTAAACATTATGCAAATTGATTTGCAAATGTTACTTTTCTAGTATTTATTAAATTTTTTTGGTTTGGCTGTTCAGAACACACAGCCAGGGTAGCCCAACTAGCCTACATGTATGGTTACTAGTATCACAAAACGCATGCCCTGCTGACGAGACAAGACATTACAATAACATAATACATGTATGAGCAGCTTAACAGTGCAATAACATTATTCTACATAAAACAAGTAAAAAAAACTTTATATACGAAGAACTAAATGCCTTGACAGAATGATGAACAGATGAATGGAGGCGGGTTCAACTTGGTGGAAAAAGGAGTCCAGTCCAATTGGCGGAAAAAGCAGTCCAGTCCAATTTGGGGGTGGAAAAAGCAGTCCAAAAAAGTTGGATGGTTTCTACGAAAGACCATAGGTACAATTATTTTTTCTTGTGTGTGTACTTAGAGTTTCTTTGGTTACTTAGAGCCGCCCAACATCCAGCCGGCCCCCGCTAAAACCACGTATGGCACACTTTGCGTTACATTGTACATAGAAGAGAATGACTATACAAACTATAAGTGCTTACAGAAACTCTAAGTACTCATGACATGAAAACTCAAAGTACACACAAAAGAAAAAAAATAATTGTATCTATGATCTTTCGTAGAAACCCTCCAACTTTTTTGGACTGCTTTTTCCACCCCCAAATCGGACTGGACTGCTTTTTCTGCCAATTGAACTGGACTCCTTTTTCCACCAACCCGAATGAAGGCATCAGCACAACTATACCAATCATCCTTCCATGTCAAGAATAAGGATCAACAAGTTACATACAATGCACAATATTTCAATAAGTTATATGAATAACATACCAAGATTGATAGTCCTGTAAGACAGAGTTTCCTCATTGATCTGAGCTGCAGTACCGGGGAGAATTGCTGTGGGGAGCTGCAGCTTGTGGCCATGTCGAGAAATGAAGACCTGGTAATCAAAAAGTGGCTCATCCTCTTCAAGACTTGACCAGCCTCCTGAATCTATAAGCAAGAAATGTCATTGAGACTCTGTTAGCAAGAAATATTTGTATAAAAAACTAGTTACTTTGAATTTTTAAATCACTGTCTTTAAGTTCCTGGCTTCCTGGCCACACCAATTTAATTTCTTGGTTAGCGGATTCACCCGCTTCATTTTTTTCTGATGTGCAAATAAAGATAAAAATTCAGAATAAACTGCAAAATGCTCATATTTTGCCCTGAACAGTTGAAAACAGTCCTTTTCTTCCTAGTTGTTACAGATATTCCATCTTTCAATGCAATGGTATTATTTAAAGGTAAAAATTCATTGTTAAATTTTGAACCAGCCTGATGTGTTGACTTCATGGCTCCTATCGTACCATTGTGGGCCATAATAGGATGCCTAGGCCTGTTTTTATTTTTTTTTTTTTTCGCCCGCCCACTGCATTATTTTTCTAGAAAAATCCGTTAACCAAGAAATTAAATTGGTGTGGCCTAATGATGGAAAGACGGATGCTGGCTACAACACTGTTAGTGAGTGTAGCTGTTGCATTCCAAAACGTGTTATTCCAAATCATGTTTTGGAATGGGCCACGTTCTGGAATGCAACAGGCATTCCACACGTTGTATTCCAAATCATGGCGCAGCTGGACCACGATTTGGAATGTTCCAAAACGTGAACGGCCACGCTGTCAATCACGAATGATTGACAGGAGTGGTGATTAATTATTCATACCGAAGTTTCCATATTTGGTCTGTTGTTTTTGCGAGACTTCAAAAAAATTGAGACTGACTTTAATAGACTTCGGAGTTGCCAGTCGGGATTAACAGAGATTAACAGTGCCAGGGGCTATCTTCTTCGTGTTTTTGTTTAGTTTAATTTTAATTTTTGCTGTTCGTATACAAATACTGTGTTCAAAATCGTGCCCTGTTTACTTGTCTGAACATGTCGTCGGGCTTAGAGCGCCGACGGTGTTAGCACGTTTAATTCAGCTGTGTGGGGAAAAGGACGTCCACGAACAATCAGTACTATGATATCCTTGGTATGATGTTCCATTTACTGGCAATCATGTTAGTTTCCTAGTTAACCTGGCCTGAGTTTACTCCTTGCTGAGCATATCTGTTTGAAGAAGGATATAAATAAAGTACACCAAATAAACAAACAGCTCTATGGCTCTCCCGCCCATTTCATCTGTAGTCCGACGACGTAGACTCGCCGTGGCAGGGCATGTTGTTCGTAGTAACGAAACAGCTGGTAGACTAGTACAGTGGCTTCCTACTGGGAGACGTAGAGTGGGACGACCATGCATGTACCATTTTTGTCAATGTTAGAGAGAGAAAGACACTGGTCTCACAGGGACTGCATTAGTGTCTGCTATGAGGGACTGGGTGTACTGGAGTAACTTTTTTTTTATTAAGTGTACCTCACCGGATTAAATCCAGAGGCATGATGATGATGATGACCCACCAAAAAAAAAAGGTTATTAGATTCAATCATGAAAGTTCATCTGTGCTGGTAGTTACATGTTTGAAGTTAAAACTTTTGTTCCAACACAAAAAATTCTCTCACCTAGAGCTTTCGACCAGTCACTCTGGTCTTCCTCAGTAGACTGACCCGGTGAAGCTTGTCACATGGCTTCTTTGAAGTATGAT